CGATTGGACGCGGGCGACTACCCGAATGCTTCTCGAGCTAGTAACTATCACAAGCCCAAATCGAGTGCCCACGCAGGGCTCGGGTCCAATCTATGAACCGCATTCAAATATCGTCACTTGGGTGTACTGCGATCCCCACGTTACGTCATCAAATTTTGCAAAGGAGAGATTGAACGAAAATGATTGCTTTTGTCCTTGAAATTTCACCGCAACAAAGGAGTTTCTTGACCAGTGGCGTTTTGTGCGAGTATCCTTGAGTCCCACTAATGCCAGTAAGGTCGTGTATAGGCCCGTAGCTCTCAAGTTTTGAGCAGCGCTCCAGGCGAGCAAAATAAAATATTTGGCTCGCGTTTCGAACATGCGGCATCACGCTCCCCCACTACAGATTTTTTTTTTTTTTATAGTTAGTTTTATTCAAAGTGCCAGCGTAGCAGAGGCTACAAGAGCGAGCTCCGAGCTTGCAGTGTCCCTTCTAAGCACGCGCGCTCGTGCAGTGCGAGCATCGTTCAGGGGCACATGATTTTGCAAGTAGCCTCGCCTTCGCTATCATGTAAATTGAGACATACGGGCTCACGGAAGCTATGAAAGAACGCAATGAAATAATAAAGCTGATTGGGACGCCGAGGCCGCAAGCTGCAGAATTCTTTTTTTTTTTTATTTTAGTTTTTTTTAGACGTTTTGTTATCGCGCGTTTAGAGATGATGACAGGTGCTTGCATGTGAACGTGGCACGTGCAAAATCGAACGTTACAGCGCCACCTGGATAGTGCTGCCAGCATAACATGGTCGCGTCTTGCGGACGCGCTCGCGCCCTCTGCCCGAGAGCAACGCGTCTATAGTGAAAAACATTCCAATTGAATATCGTTGCACAGCTCCTTTAATAGACGACGCCTGAACTTTTTTTCAAGCTAAATAATGTAATAGTGGAGCAACAGTACAACTTTCAGATGCAAAAGTCGTCTGAATTGGCTCTTTCAATCATAATGAAAGAAAGAAATTGAAGTTTTTAAAGAGAAGTTGTATGCAGTAGGAGTGATTCTTGACTTCCAAATAGGTTTTCAATTCAATTTAACGTAATATTATTTACGGAAAAAATGTCTAAATATGGAATGAGAGGAAAGTCTCTCAGTTTAATAAAGAGATATCTCGGAAATCGTTTATAATACACATAGATTAATTACTTAAAGTCAAATGTGGGTCAAATAAAAGATGCCGTCCTGTGTGGGTTTATTGTCGGTCCACTCTTATTTTTACTTATTATAAATGACATTAAAAAGATGCCTCAAGCACGGTATAAAAGATAATATGCTGATAAAACAAACATTTTTTTTCTGGACCAAGCTTAGAATTGCTGAGTATACAATCTTGAATTAAATAAAAGAAAACCAGAGGTGTATTATGTTTTGACCAAGGAATGAATGCATTCAACATGAAACTCAAGTTAAACTTCAGAACAAAATGATCGCACATTTTTTATCAGATATGTTTCTGAGCGTTTTGTTTCGTGAACATTTAAACTGGTCGTTTCATGTAGACAGAGCAAGAATGGGTATTTTACGATCTGTTAAAGTTATCTGTAGACTGAAACATTTCTTGCCCTATTGGGTAAAAACAATAATACACATTCGTTCATTCGCGCCTACTGTCTTCACTCTCACTCCTTGTCCTATGGCTATATATAACACCCCAACAACTACAATTTGACTTTTAGTCCACTGACGTCGAACCGAGGGTACCAAGTTTCACGAGCGGCTTGAGAGTCCAGTGAGACAACCTATGAAAATAGGCGCATAGGTACGCATTTGAGACTACAGCAAAACAATCAATGTTTTGTTGGCTTTGCTGCAAAATCTCAGTGTTTTGTTTTCTGTAGTCTTTGATACGTACATTAGCTATTTAATAAGTTATGTCACACAGCTATCAAGTCGCTCGTAAAAGTTGGTATCGTCAGTTCTACGTCGGTGGACTGAACGTCGAAATGTAGCTTTGGGGTGTTTTTAATCGGACAAAGGGTGTAAGCACTACACCACATATTTATGAGAGTGTTTTCATATAGGGGCGCCACTACACATATTAAAAAAAATGTCTTGCGCTTAGTCGAAAACGCACCGTATCTAAGTCACTCTTTTCCACTCTATAGAGGACACCTTATATTAACCATTCAAACTGCTTACAAAAAGCAATTTAGTTTTAGTCATTCATATTCGAAACACGCTTGAAACAGCCCCCTTTTTTTAAAAAAGAAGTATCGTTGGGAAGATCACGCAAACTATTTTCGGCCCACGAACTACACGAAGAAAAAAAAAAAACAAGCACAAACTATGACATGCAGAAATTGGATTTTCGAACCTTCCTAATAACCACCCTGATCTCATAACCATTGTCTAGAGAGGTGCGTCTGGTCAATCTCTCAGGAAGAACCGAAATGTGTATCTTTTGTTGTTTCAAAAGTGACCCATTGCTTGTTTTTTTTTATATTTGAGGAACATTTTTTTTTTTGCTGTTTGATTTAATGGTTTTCTCGAAGTGTGCTGCAGCCATTTTTTCTCTGAGAATATATTGCCGAGTGCCACTTTCTTTGCCGCTTTTATGGAGATTTAAAGAGAGAATGTATATATGTTTCTTCGCTTCATTGGTGATTGTTTTGTTTCATTTCTTTGGTTTCGTCCTTTTTATACAGTGTTGTTTTTTTGCTGGTGGGCCTTTTTGCTGTTTTGTATGACCCGATCACGTGTAAAAATTTTTATTGATATTTGTCTTTATGTGGGCTCGCTGAATGATGTGACAGGAAAAGAGGGCTGTCACCTTGTCAGGCATGCCTATGCCTTTTGAGACGGCACTCCCCTCCCCCCCCCCCCCCCCCCATACACACACACACACAGAAAATAGACCGATGTCACCAAGCGAACTGCGCAGGCGCGCGCATTCCGGAAGTGGTGCCGCCGCCATGCTACTTGTAGTCATCCCTTCCCGGCTTCCCGGCTATACATACGGCTGCGTGTACGTACATCATCATAGATTATCATTCGGCACGCCCCGGTATCACCTTGATTCTTTTGCATGTTTTTGCTTCATAAGATTGTGTTGTTTGTGATGCCTTACTTTCCTCAGCAAGTGCAGAAAAGCAGTTCCAGTCGTATTATCGTTTTAGAATCGCTTTGTCGTCTGCTTCGTCGTCGTCTGCTTCTTCGTTTTCGTGAACGCGTAGCCCACTGCCGTTTACGAAGTAATCCCACTGCGGCCGCGGAAAAAAAAAAAAAAAAGAAAGAAAAAAACGGTGGTATTACTCGAGCATTCCGACTTCTCGGACGTCTCAATTACCTTACAAACAAGTGAACATCTAGTGCAATAGCAAAGAACAAGAAAATTCGAGGGACTATCGGCTCGGTGTAGCACCACGGAACAGCATCAAATGTGATGAAAAACTGAGCTTGGTGGTGCTCCGTCTTGTGCATAACGTTTAATCGGCCATCAAGCAAGAGCGGCTAAATAGACTTTCTCTGTCAGCGATAGTTTTCTAGAAATTGTTTCATTCTGGTTGACAGCCTGTGTGACAGAGTACAGATGAACAGCGGGAAAAGCCTGCACACAAAGAACTGATCTACAGAAAGGCCATGCCTGACGCGCCGTAATAATTGGCATCTAACAAAAAGAAGCAACCATGCCAGATACCTGAAAGCTTAGGGTGGAGATGATCTTTCGTGCACAGTTTCTATTCAGTTTTATTTGTTTGCGCAAGATCCGAACGCTAACAGTCGCCCGACGGGGGAAGCTTTTTTCCGCGGTCTCGACTGGTGCTAGTGCAGAATGGATTAGTAACACCAGCCTAATAGACCACCACAAAATGGATGAGGTTCGTTTGTTACATCTTTGGCGGTAAGTACGTGTTGCGCTTCTAAATTGCATTATGTAATCTTTTCGCGTAGGTATGGAAAAAAAAACTGAAGGCTGCTTCAGAAAAAAAGTTGTTTTATATCAAGTGGTGCATATCGGGAATCGCTGCTCTTTTTTAGTGATTGTCCTGATCTTTTGAAGCACAGTTGTGCTTAAAACATGTCGTCGCAATACCAGTTATAACCAGCAAAATACACCGAGTAAGAAGTGTATTAAAAACGGCCTCCGCAAAGCAGTGCGGAGGTCCTATTTGAGATAGACCAACGAATAGGCCGCTACGGAGCAAATGGTCAGAGAGATTCCAGCTTACGGAACACTTTGGCACGCTCTATGTCTCGTGCCCTCTAATCTTACATATTTTAGCTGACGTGCAATAAATGGATATAAATTATGAAGCAAATCGCGAAACAAATCGTAAAACGCTATTTTTCCTGCCGCTTTGTCCGGCTCTGTCGACCTTCCGTTGCCCTGCTTCTTTCTTGCGGGAAGACATAATATCCGAGGCCTTTTTGCCTGGTGCTGTTATTATAGCTCCGTGGCATACAGCGCGTGAAGCCACCGATTGAAAACCATGAGTCAACACCTGGCTAAAAGTCTCGTGCTAACCCGAAAATTTCCAAACGCCGGGCGTGCAATGCGCGCCGACGCGGCCAGAAAACTTGGGAGAACTACATATACCAGAATGCACCGCGGCAGCGGTGGCGTCGCGCAACTCCTCGTGAGATCGGTCTATTGTTTGACTTGTAGGCTGTCTAAATAAAACTAAAACTGACTGAAACTGATTCAGAAATATTCGCTTCGAATAGTTTCAAGCTCAGAGTCCACTATTCGCACATGATTAAAATATTGCGCTATTTTTTTTTCCTGGGACAGTTCAATTTGTGACATCGTGTCGTATCCAGGAATTATTTTTTCTGTTTTATTAAAGTTTAGCGCTTCTTTAACTTAAATACCTTTCTTAGTATTTCGCACGAGAGTAGTTCGGCTATTATACTGCACGCAGAGATCGCGGAATCTTCTTCGTACGCTTGAAAAGGATCCGTGATAATCGCGGCGTCCACCAGTTTGGACGAGCGGGCTGAAATCCCCATCATGGCGTTCGCGCAGCTTGTCCCCGAGGATCCTACGGCCGCAACTGCAGCGACCGATGCGAGTGCGCCCCGAATGCCCTGTGTGACGTCATGAGTGGGGCGTGCACCTGCGGCCCCGGATGGAGGGGCAGTTTTTGCGAGCTGCCCTGCCCCCCGGGCTTCCACGGCACCGACTGCGGCCTTCGATGCGACTGCCGCGCGGGCGTGGAGTGTGACACCGTAACGGGGCAGTGCCTGGACTCCATCAATGGGACTGCGGCTACGCCGGGTGAGCTGGGGTGACTCGATAGTAGTCGCATGAAGTCGATAGTCGCGTGAAGACTGCATGCTGTGCTTTCTGCGCAGTGACCACACCAAACGGGCTTGTTTGGAAACAGCGCATTGGCTGATGTATCGTAAAAAAAGACAGGCTGCAGACATGATGGAAGAATTATCTGCGCCTCAAGCACGTTTCAAGCGTTTCATATAACATGACTGCAGGAAGTTATGCAAGGAACGCCTCAGGCACTGTCTTTCGTGTGTTGTGTTAGCAAACTGACCGCGGCTTGAGTGCACAAAGAGACATACACCTGCGAGGGTACTTTCCCGCAATACGTGTAAGGACTTGTGACGCCGACAGAATCGATCGATTCCTCAGCGCGTCCAGATTGTGCGTATAGAAAGTATCTGTGTTGAGCCAATGATTACCGTTGATCGCAACTATGATAAGCACGCTTTTCTTGTTTTACGGGAATGCAGCGATGCTTTTCGTTTTCTTCCGATATTCACGGAACCTGCGCGAAGTGAAGGTACACAGCACAAAGTGAAATGGTGGCTTGTTTTATGTGAAGTGAACAAGAACTCGCAAACAAACTATCGTTCTGAGGTTTCATCCATAGTTGCTGACCGGCTAAGAGCATATACTTTGTCTACCCTTAGCAGGCACTATTGTTACCCGCGCATACTAAAAGCGCGGGCCATTTGTTTAAATGTACCCTCCGCGGCTGCACGAGCGCTTGTGCAGCAAGTCCTCAGTCTAGGCAGTCAAGTCTACCCGCTCGCGCCCGCAGCGACTTCGCAGTTCGTCCTTGCCAAGGTGAGACGAAGTATTGGCCTCGAGACCCAAATTAATTTGTGTGGAAGCGTGCTCTTGTGTTGGCGACGTGCGCGATTGAAAGCGTCGCTGTGATCGGTCTTCCACGATTGGACCAGTACTGACTATGACGTCAGGAAAGGATTTATCTTTGACGGCAATAAGAGGAATGGAATAACTTCAATTTTGGCGGTGTTGGCAGCGTTGGCGTCAGAGCACAATGATTTCAAGGATCCATCATGCTCGTTACAAACGCCATGGAACTTGTTGTTCGCAAGGTAATGACGTCACGAGAAGGAACCATGGGAGGGCGGCACCAAAGCATCTCGCCGCTAATATCTATGGTTCTCTATGGGGCACGTGGCGATTCCCTCGGTCCACAATGCGGGTGGAGGCAAAGCATCCACACTAACGATAGAGAGCGCCGGCGAGGATACAGAGCACAAGCTCTTAGCACTTGATTCCAGTGCGCCAGCGCTGCATTCACGCCTGCCAAGGCTTGGGCCTCGCGTGCGTAACATTTGTTTTGCTCTGAGGAAGTGTAAAACAAAGCCTACTTTTGATTTTCACCAGATGAGCCGTGTCGATATAATCTCGAGGCGAATAGTAGAGGTTCCGCCTTCAGCTAACGCTTGTTGCCTTCCGCTGAACCATAGCCTCCTCTTTACTCACAAAGCCTGGCAGTTCGACGACGGAGCCATTGAGTGCCCGGTCGCAGACTTGGAGCGCGATGATATGGTAGCACAGAGCATCATTTCTCGGGGAACCTGGACGTCAGCGCACAGCTTTTCCAGCGTCGAGGACCCAAAACACATTCGTTCGCTCGGGAGAAGTGTGTTTCGGCGTCTCCTCGCGGCGAGGCGGCAGTCACGTGGCTCTCCTCTCATCCGCAGAGCTCTGCTCATCCGTTGTCTGCCGCTCCACGTGTTCCATTTCAGCGGCCGCTTTTTGTGGCGGTCTGCCAGGCTTTGTCAGTATATAGGGGGCTATGGCTGGACTTTGGATGCGCGTGCGACGAAATATTGACAAAGGGAGAAAGCTCACGCTTGAGCCGGAGCATTTACTGGGCTCTTAACATGTCACCGTCATAGTATGTATAGCTGTACCAATATTAGTTAAACTAAATAAAATTATGGTACTATACCTGTTGTACCTCTGTTGCCTTTATTAAACTTGAATGTTTCTGTATGATAGTTGTGCTTTGTGAAAATAGCTGGTTCAAGATTATTCAATTCATATAAACCATTGGGGAGGGTTGATTGAGGTCTGGAAACGTGAAACCTATCGGCGAAATGTAGAATTAAGTTGATATTGACTGGGGAACAGAGCTCTCCTATAACCACAATTCCCACCACTGGTGTTTTGTAGAAAGCTTGATTGCAGAACGACTTTGGTGTTATTTTTGTTGTTGTCTTGTCGAGTTTTTAACGGTCTTAAACGGGTCAACACTTTAAGAGTCACATAGCTTCTTAATTGTATGTTTATTTATCTTTTTGTTCTGCTCTTGTGCTTTGCAGGGTGCGAGAAGGGATTCTACGGCAAGAATTGCTTACGGAGTTGTCATTGTGAACACGGGGCTACCTGCTCCCAAACAGACGGCAAATGCCATTGCGGACCAGGATTCAGCGGCGATCGATGCGAAAATTGTACGTACAATTTTTTTATTCCTTTTTTACCGTAGAACGCCTTCCACCTAATGTGAAGCTTTTTAGTTGGATTTTAACTAGGATTGCTATTGCGTGATTTTGCTTTCAAATTTATATTGCCACAGGTAGAAAATGGTAGACGAATGTATAACTGGAATTCCTACCGAAAAATCCGGTATAACTTTTCGCTATCCGGATTATGGAACCGGAAATCTATCTGGATTCTATCCGGACTCTATCTGGAATTTAGGTTTTCAGAAATTATTCCTTTGTCTGCAATCTGGATTTCGGGTTTCCAGTAACAAATTTCCGGTTCCATATTCGGGATAGGGAAAGTTATACCGGATTTTTCGGTAGGGATGCATGTATATTAAGGAGGACTTGTGCTTACAAATATCAAAAGAGAGGAACTACTACGCACCTGGCGTCGGCAACGGAGGGGCGACTGATCTGAAAGGACATGCTTCCTCTGCTTTTTTAGGTACGGTGCGTTCAAGAAGGTTTCCTATAAAACACACAGTGAGAACCGAAAATGTGCTGGAAATTTCCAGTAGAGCAAAACTTCATAGAAAATAAAACTGAGCCGAGAGGAGCTCAAACCCTATGCCTCCGCGTGCAGCCGCGTGCGTTGCAACTCTGCCATGCACGAGGCTAAATAACCAGAATTAGAGTTAAAGGGGCCATGAAACGAATTTTGGGCTGGGATAAATTATTTTAAATCGGGACTTTACTAATCGCATATCGTTTAGTTGGCCAAAGGAAAGACAGTATGAAGTCAACAGCCAGCTTTTCGGCACAAACATTGGAAAATATTGCGGACTATTTTGTACCTTCTTTTCTTCGAAAGCTCTCCGCCTTTTCACTATGATACATCCGCGGTTCCCAAAGCGCGTCCGCGGTACCAAATTGACGTCAGCAGAGCCCAGCTCACGCATTGGACACGAGAACTGCGTCACTCGGACGTATGCGCTCGTCAACAATAAATCCGTCGACGAATATTCGGATTCGCGTTCGTGACCAATGAGTGCACCCTGACGCAACTTATCGTCACTGGGCAATGGAAAGTTCTATAGTGTGCATAAAAAGCACAGTGCAAGCTAGGAGTCATCGCACCGGTGCCGAAAACTGTGACGACGACGTGATTTCACAATTCGCATTTGAGTTTAGGATTAAAGCTAAGGAGGAAGAAGTAGGAAAATCGTTTCATGGACCCCTTTAAGGCTTTTGAAGTTTTAGTTCTAAAAAGCAGTCTGCGCTATGTTCGTAACTTATTTCTGGCTGGCGTGAACGCTATTCCAGTTCCAAATTATAAAGCTATCAGCTTGCGCTCATAGCTTTCAGGGCACATCAACTACAGTTTGCCCTACGCTCTAAAAACGCCTGCTCGAATACCGCCCCGCGATTCCCTCAGAAGACTATAATCATGCACTCATTGATTGATTTAAAACATGTATTAATTTAATAAAAAGGTTCGCTTGCCTATATCACTTGGTTGTCTTGAGGCACGAGGGATTGAGTTTGTAAGCTGTATGACTTCGTTATATGAAAACATGAACCCCGGAGCCCCTGATATAACGTATCATGCAAGGAAGCCCGGATTTGAAGTTCCCAAAGTGGAGATTTATGCAAGAATAAACTTACTTTCACTCGAAATGGAGGGCAACATTACGCCCTCTAGGCGACTGATGGCACCTGAAAAAACCTTCCTGGTCTGGGATTCAATTCCGGTACCTCTCCAAAAAAGCTGAGCGCACTGCCAACTAAGCTAAGCAGGAGCTAGCAGTCAGGAGGGCAAGCGCTGCCACCAGCCTCAATTGTATACCCAACGCTAGGGTGACGTCCAACGTTAATGATTAGATAATTCTAATCAGTAACCTATATATGAGACGTTAATTTTGTATACATCTAATCAGGTGTAAATGATTAGCTAGCCTTGCAGAGATCCCGGGGTAGAATCCTAGACGGGGCGGGTTTTTTTCAGCCGCTACGAGTTGCCTAAAGGGCGCGAGTGGCAACTCCACTGCTAAAGCCCCTTCATGTTTTAAAAGTAGCGCATGGTGCATCGATGCACGCGGTACGTGCAACGCGCAGCCCTTGGGAAGACCATGGCGGCAAAGCGCAGCACTGAGCTGGATTTCAGACGCCATGTTCTTTCCAGAAGTTGCGCGCGGCACGTGTCTCGAGCATTTCTACAACAATGAATGGCGCCACTTTTTCCATGATAGAGGGGCATTATCCACTTTAGGTTGAAGTCAATTTATTTTTACATGATTTGCTTCTTGTGCTGTGCCTGTCCCTTGAGATGGGTACAGTCTCCCAGCTGCTTTGGTCTCGTCTCGATCGATTACAACTCCCACGGATTTTGTCTGAAGTCATTTGGGCCCTTGCAGGTTCGGAGCATATTGTGTCGTCGTCAATAATGCTCCCGCGGTGCACGCCTTGCTCCCAGGTTCGATGTCCTTCTTTGCGTGTTGCTTCTTACTAGAGGCGGCACTCCTAGCTGGTGGGAAGGCTGTCCTGGTATTGATTCTCCTTTGCCGCGCATTCTCCCACCTCTTGTAGCCTTGCGGGATCGGGTCTTCATCTGTCAGCAGAAGGCCTTTTAGATAGAGTTACCTTTCTTCCTTGGCCGTTTCGGCTCCCTGCTCTGGGTTAATGGACACTGCGTGAAACTGAGGTGCACCTAGAGGCTCTGGTGCATTCTGAAGAACATTTGTCTACAAAGAGTTTAGGCTAGCCGCAAGCGAACACTGCGGACCTGGGGCCCTATGTTGCGCGTTTTGGACTCTCACGGCGACTACGGAGAAGGAAGTGACGTCAACAACGCAGCAAATGCAGATAGGATGTTGACTGCTCTCTCATCAATCAATATCCAATCTGCATTTGCTGCGTTGTTGACGCCACTTCCTTCTTCATAGTCACCGTGGGAGTCCAAAACGTGCAGTATAGGGCCCCTGCACTACACCCCTCAACGTATTGCACCTCGCCGAGCCTTCGTAGGTTGACCTACGTGTGCATGTGATGCAATAAGTATACTTATCTTCTCGTGATTTTATTAGACGGTAACTGATTCAAGGCGAAGGCAAGCCACGTCACCTTCAGCGGAACTAAGCCTAATGTTTATCGGCGTACACTGCTCTACGCAGCGACTCCTTGTGGTTGTCTGTTTTCGGCTTCGACAGTCTTCCAGGAGGGCCATCATCAACATTAGCAACGCGGACTTTCAAAGTGCCTTTATGTCGTGTTTTACCCGTCGTTGTTAAGCCATCTTATTCTTTTACTTTCAATGTCCCGATTCATTTGTTCACTAGCTGCCACCTTACATGTCTTCTTCTTTCCCTAACTTGGCGTGGCTTGCCTCCGCCTTTATTCAGTTACCGTGTGATAAAGTAACGAGAAGAAAAGTATACTAAGTGAATCACATGCACACGAAGGTCAACCTACGAAGATACGGCAATGTACGCTGCGTTGAGGGGCGTGGTGCACGTCCGTGGTGTCCACATGCAGCTGGCCGCGGTTTGACGAAGGAAACCGAAACTAAAATCTTCCTTGATAAATGTTTCCCCCAATTCACCTGAGCCGCTAGGGGGGCCTCGGTTAATTTTGCACACTGTCCATTGGGGTTTCTCCGGTTGTCCCTGCTTGAGAGGTAAGGTCTGTTGCGGAGCTGCTGCTGCTGCTGCTAGGTTTCTCCTCGGTGACCTAGTGTGCACTCTCGTTGCCCAGGATTTCAGTGTGTCCAGGTATCCACTCAATTGCCAAGTTAACGCTCTGTTTCCTGCGCTCTTTTGCGATTAGCCTAATGTATTTAACTGTTGAGCTTCTTGTTCAACAAGTTCTGGAAGCTCTAAGAGCCAGTTGTGACTTGGGAGTCGGTAAAAAGCCAGGCCCTGTAGTCAGATTTAAGAAGTTTCTTGAATGTCGTTCGCTGCCGACAGGATAGCTCTCAGTTAGGCATCCTCGACTGAGGTCGGCCTTAAGAGCCATGCTGTTCTAATCATGCTTCCAGTTTCGTCCGTCCATGCTATAGTAACGGCTGTGGTATTCATCGCGGCGTCCACCGCGCCGTACAGGAGAGTCTCGCCGGCGCTCGGTCGTGCCGTTATGCCGCCATCGACACCTGTTACAGTCCGCTTAATGTTATTTTGTTTGGGCACAGGTTCGCACTATTAAACGTTTAGTCTGCTTAAGTGTTTCGTCGACTTATCAATTATCAATTGTGACAATATCTCAATAATGGTGGGGGCAATGGGCGGCCCCGATCAACTCCTTATTATTGGTATATCTTTAAGATTGCTGCATCACAAGATAAAAAGTATCAAAGCCTCGATGACCACAAGAGATATCGTGATTCGTGTTGTCAGCAGACCTTGAGTGCACACCCTCGCCTCGTGAAAGGTCTTTGGCATCAAGAACGACGGAGTGTAGCTAAAATTACAACACTTCGTTGCTTATTAACTGACCCCCGAATGTTTTTTTAAGTAATGCTAAAATAACATTGACTGACGGCTCTGGAGCTTTCACTGAAAACATCTACAGAATGTTTTGTAAGATTTACAACTTTACTATAAAACATTCAAAAGCCGTCAAAGCTACATTTATTCGGCCTGTGCAGGTGAGTTACGGCCTAATCGTCCCAATAACTCGAATAACTAACTAAAAGTCAATAAATAGAAAGTTAACATTTGGTTTCAATTAGAAACTTGCTGAGTGGCATCAAAAACCACCTAACCAGTACATTAACGCGCTGTAGTAACCTAAATTTACCCCTCGTGCAACAGGCTCAAGGCTGGTGGAACGAAAACGCAGATGATAACACCACTGCGCGCTTATCATTCGCATTTTCTTACCTCCAGCGTTGAGCCTGTTGCACTAGCGGTAACTTTAGCGCAGAACCACGGTTTTTACGAGCTTCAAAACTTTCTAAAATGTTTTAGGTTTTTTTTTATGACACTCCGCAAGTTTCCAATTAACTATAAATTATGTTACACGCTTTTTGTTAGTTATCCAGCTTATTGTGGCAATTCGCCCCTTATTATATGTCCTTCTGACCTTATAACTAGGGTTCTGCGTTTTCGATTTCTTTTTTTTTTTTTTTCAAACATTTTGCGTACTTTTTCGGTGTTTATTTTAAAATTCAATTTTCCGTTTTTTTCGGCGTATATTTATGCCCACAACAGTTTATCGGCTTTTTTCGGTGAATATAAAATAAACACCAACGGACACCGGATCAGATGATCCTTGTAGCTCGGATATTTCTGATCGCTCAAAGAATAACGGCAGGCACAGATACATTGAAAAAGAAATGAACACTTTATTTGGCAAATATGTGCAACTGTAAAAGAAAAAAGAAAAAAACAAGAAGTAAAGACAAGTTACATATGAATCCTGTGCCAAAAAAAATGTGGAACTTCACCTTCCGTACATCAGCATAACGTTATCTCATTATACTACACACACATGTACTTCCCCAGGTTCTCCTCATTGATCCGCACTCTTTCTTTCCCGTTAATATGACGCTGAGCTTCGAGAATGCCCCCTCAACGCTAACGCTGGACACTGGCAGGCTGAGGAGATGAAGCGCTGTCTGAGCCAAAATCGGCCAGTCAACCAATTGTGACCGCCAAAAGAGCGATGGTGCGACGTTTTGAAGCTCAACACAACATCCAGAGCTTGCATCAACTCAGTCTTCCTGACAACGGGTTTGAAAACACGCCCGTACATGGCGAAGTTATGGGGCATTTCGGACTTCACGTTCCGATCGATGATGCGCACATTAAACCAAAACGTCATGATGGCACCCGTGTATCCCATACATTCCGACACGTTTCGATAGATACTGTCATTCCACTTTTTCGCCACGGCTCTGTGGTACGACTGAAAGGTCAAAGTGACCTTTTACGGTTAAAACTGAATTTTAGAAAATGGATTCGACGTACTTTTATCGCTTTTTATCGGTTTAAATAAAAAATGACGAACATAAAAACTGACTTTTTTCGGTTAAAACCGAATTTCCGAAAATGGATTCGGCGTACTTTTATCGGTTTTTATCAGTTTAAACCGAAAACTCCGAACCCTACTTATAACTCACCTGCACAACCGGCATTACTGTAACGTTCATGTTTTTTTTTTTTTTTTAACGAGTATGTAAAGCCTATAAATACACCCTGGGCCGTAAGAGTTTAGCGTGAAAAAAATATGGGATATTATGCGCTCTCGTGCCTGAACCCTCTAATTTTATACCTCTCCTTCTCTTTGTCTTTTCAGCCTGCCCTGAAGGCTTTTACGGGGCAAACTGCGCCCATGCCTGCAACTGCAAGCCTTGGGAGCCCTGTGATCACGTGACCGGGGCGTGTCACTGCCAGCTAGGAAAAGTTGGTCGCCGCTGCGAACAGAGTACGAACACTTCGTTCTCGGCACGGTGTCGATATCAATGCATACGTGGTGTGTGGCGCTAAAAGCTTTGTGCATAAACTATACGCATTACAAAAAAACCAAAAAGTGGTACAGTACTATTAGTCACTCTCAAAAGGCGTATTTATAGACCTGTAGCTCTATAATTCTAAACAGCGTCCCTGGCGAAAAAAACATGGGATATTTCTTAAGTCGCGTTTCCACTGTGCGTAGCGTTGCGTCCTTTCAAACTCTCGGTCAGTGCGCGGGAACCATGAGCAGACGCCGAGGGAATCTGACAGACGCTAGTTTACGCCCGTGAAAGGTGCATGATGGGACGCTAGGACGCCGCTTCACGTCAGCATTAAATGGACACTAGCGGAATGTCTCTTCTTGTGGTTGCGTCTCGGGAACGCTACAGCGCCCCTTTGGTCAAAAGAAGCAGGACTATTTAAATGCAGTCGGCACAAAAAAAAAAAAAAAAAAAAAAAGTTTGAACGAGCGATTTTTGGGTCGCTAAACTCGTCGAACATAAAGTTGGGGCCGAAGTTCGCGGAGCGTTCTGATTGGACTCTCGCCACGATGGCGTCACGCGGGACGAAATGTCAATCATCCATGCTCTCTCGGTGCTCAAATTCCAGCGAGAATGGGAAGCACAAAGTCGTAACGAGCTTCGTCGGAGCGCGCGCGCGCGACACCGTGGGGCCAGGCGATTGAACGGCGGCTGCACTGATGACGTCGCTCCCGCGTGTCCCAACATCCCTACTCCGCGTTAGAATCAATAGCACGTAATTGTGCCTAGGCGGGCTGTAAATACTTACTCTGAACTTTCCCGTCGGAAGATCGTTGTTTGTGGAAGTTATTGGTGACGACAAAGTGACGTTTCACAATTTCGGGAAGGAGTTATTTGAGGCCAAAATCTTCGCTTCGGAATCGAGGCGAAGATTGAGCTTTGTGATACTGTGGACTTGGAGCCGTGCGCGGTGTACGCGGCTTTAGAGCTCATCTTCCGGAACTGTCACCGACGCTACCGGGGTCACCCAGGGGCCGCGTGTGGACTGACGTCGGTAGTGCCTGAGAGAAGAGGGGGCGACGAGGGATGGCGAGGGAAAACCTAAGGAAGGGAAATAAAGAAAGAAAAGGTGCGACCAACACACACACACACATACACACACATTCACATACACATATGGGAATCAGGAAGGGCGGTATAAATTGTTTTGGAGAGGGGGAGAGAGAGAGAGAGACAGAGGGGGGGAGGTGATGGTAGTGAAGAAGGGGGATATCCCTTCCCCCGAATTTTTAGAACGCAGCTCTCAAGCGCCCGTTTCGGGGTTGAGCGGCGCCGCCGTCGGCGCCGGCGTCGACGTCGGCATAACCGCACTCTTTGCATCATGGGACGTTCCCCCCTAAACTTAGCGGGAAAATTGACGTCACGTGACCTCAACACCAATTCAGTTTCCCCGCTAAATGGGAGGAGAGCAGGAGAGGAGGAGGGGAGAGTACGGAGGAAGGTGGAAGGCATAGCCTCCCCTCCTGCTCCTCAAGAGCTGCGCTCTAGTTCGACGTTACAGGGAACTGTAAACGTATTTCATTATTTAAAATTATAACTCTCTGAAATGCTATGGTCGGGGGCTAGGGCGATAGCCCCTCCCCCCCCCCCCCCCCCCCCCACCCCTTAACACTTTTATGCCCCTTGCCACCTCTTTCGACGCCACTGGGGGGGGGGGGGGGGGGGGGGGGGGGGTGAGTGACGCCCTCCCCGTCCTCCTGTTGCGACGACCCTGCTAGAGGCGTTCCAACTGATTCATGATGAGGAACAGCACAGCGTGCAAATTTCGAAATAATGGTTCTAGAGATTCTGGAATGAAAACGGTTCGCGTTCCATGAACTCACGAGCGGCCATGATAGACTTCCGAGCGAGAGGCTCGTGCCGGGACTCGTTGTATGCAGGCGCGTTCAGTGGCGTCCTTTGACGTCAGGGTCAGTATTATCAGTTGTGAACGACAAGTCTGATGGTGCCTGTTCAAGTCGACGGTGACAAGTTTGGTTTTGTACGATGAAAGCTTGGTGTCTTCGCGTTCTCGGAACATCACCGCCAATATTGCCAACCTGACATGACTCTTATTTCCGTTAAAGAACGCATAATTAATCCCAGTCTGGCTAATCTTTGAAAGTCTAGCATAAAATGATTTTACCCCGCCGATGGGGGAGACAACTGCCCGGAAGCGAAATCCGTCCGAAAGTTGGCAATGCTACTCGGCTGGTTGTGGTCTAGCCACGTCGGGCTACACCGTGGGCAACACTACAGTGTTCTAGAGCTACACTTTGATCAAAAGGCCGAAATAAATGAAAGGAACGACAGGGACGCTTTTTAGTAAAGGCGGCTTTATCGGCGGAAATAAGAACGATATCAGACTATCAACTTCGACGTTGTCGATTTTAGAATGCAATTACCCAAGCCTCCATAATAGAGACAATCAAACATGTCGGTCGCAGCTGATAATCTTTGTCGTGACGTCACACGTACGAACCACGGCTGTCTCCGCGCGTTCTCTCGTGCTGCTCTTGTTCGGCGCCTGGGGAGTGCTAGGGATTGTTCTCCCCTTCAATGAAAAGCGTCACGAGGATACACAAATTTGTGGGCTTGTGAGAAAAGAAACCTTCGCGGCAATGTTTCGGCTCCTTCCCCCACTATGTCATAACACAAAGAAAGTTGTGTTTGACAAGCTTAGCGAACCTGGGGTGGCAAAATGTCAACACGTGGCTCTCAAGTCCCACTAACACTAGAGTAAGCAGAGTATTGCAACGGTCTGAAATTTTTTATTTAAAATTTTATTTTTTTAAATACATGTATTAGGAGAAGGGCGACCGTTAAGCCGGGGTCACAATGCTTATACATCATAAAAGGACAGTCTGCAAACGTGTGCCACCGGTACATCCGTGGTTCGAATGCCGCGTGCCAAGTTTCTTCTTGAACTCATTGCCATGCGGCATTCGAAGCAAGGATCTCGTCGTCAGTCGCGTTCGAATCTGTGTGCAGACTGTTTTGTGTGATAAACAGGGTGTCACAAGTAAAAAAAATTACAGGGTTTCTTTTTTGTTTGCCACAAAAATAAACTAGGCATCGCCAAACGCTCATTCTCCGCCCAAAGGTGGCGCTAGGGGTCACAACCAGATGCCAGAGTTTCAGCCCGATCCGATACCTTGTTCAAAAGTTATAAGTGAATTTCTAAAAAGTTTTTTAAAAAATGGCGGCCGACGGTGTTTTCGAATACATGGGGCTCTATTAGCCCCGAGAAGTTCGCGTGGCGCCCCCTTACGGCGAAGCGGGGTGACGTCACGGCGAGGAGAGAAATTTTCCCCGACTCGCGCCGCTCGACCTATGGAGGCTGTGACGGCGCTAGCTGTCGGCGCGCTCGTTTCTATTTAATTTTTTTTTTTGGCGTGTTTTTCGTAGGAAGTGTAAATTTTGATATGTGCCTTTATTGAGGTATGGCCTGTATCTACAGGCGAAACTTCAACCAACATTTTAAGCATGGTTGACAGGGCAGGCAACGCAGGAATCAGAACTGGTGTATGAAAATAAAGAAGTATGGCCACAACTGCAGGAGCATCACTATAGATTTACATCTCGCACAATAAATGCTGCTGATGGTCTGAATAAATTGGAGGTTATGTATACTATTTTTTTTTTGTATCTCTGTTTTTAAACCAGATCGCCGAAGCAGAAAAGCTGCATGCTGCTCGAGCAACAAGCTAAATACTGTCTGGGCCATGGGGAGAGAATCGCAAGTAAGACAGCCCAAGTGCAGGGGCAAAGTAAAAAAAAAAAACAAGGAACATTTATTATATACATTGCTCGCATTTGACCTTCGCTGGATTCGGATAGTATTTCAATGGACTACACGGGTGGTATTTGTGGACTTGTATATATCAACCCTCAAGTAATGTATAACAAACGTAAGCGAAGGTGTCTAGGTCGTTATCAGTCAATTAAGCCCTAAGATTGAGATTTTACTTAAATCGAATTGGTCCTAAAGCTAAAATACCAGAAGCTTTTCTCACGCAGACTGTCGCCCTTCAACAGGTTTTACATTTTCTGCTACTAGTGCTGCATCTACCACTGGACAGCCGCTCGAATGCTTGCTTTTACTCCTGTTTTCCTCTGTTGTCAGAGAGTCCAGCTGTAGGCAGTTTGGAGGCTGAGGAAGCTTTTGGAGACATGCAGCAATGTCTCTTTTAATTGGAAATGACAATTCAGACTAAACGGTGTATTTTCCGAATGCCCAAGGCTGGAATAAAAATGTCCGGAAAAAGTATAAACATTCCAAATTACGGCACTATTGCTGTGCATATTTTGGGCAGTTCAATACATATCATACAGGCAACGGGGGGCGATTCGGCCGTCTTTGCTGCTACCATACAAACTAATTTCCAGTAATTGTGCATCTTCTAAGAAATATGCCTGCATACGTATATAAACTATATAATTAATTCACGAAGAAGCTACATTTATGTAAAACAACCCTGTTCCACGACCACTTCAAAGATATTCAGACACAGGGCCTTTAAAACATCTGCGAACCAGCGCATGTAGAATGGCAGCGCAAAGTCGGGGTCGCGAGCTAATTTGCCGACCACCCAAAGGCCCATGATACAAATGCCACTTCAAATGCCTTGAAATCGGGTTGTAATATCGTTCTAAATCATGAACATGCAAGGAACAGAATTCCAGCGTCTGAAACACCCGCGCCACCGCTTCACCGATCCATCGCAAAATTGCCTTGTGTAGTGTGGACAGACGGAGAGGTTCATCGGCGGAACTGCCTCCGCCGATAGCTTTCGGGTTTTGTAACCCGATTTTAAAAGTAAAGAGAACGAGGAGGCTTATAAAATGTACGGAAGCACGTCAATATCGGCCTAACTCAACGTCCTGCACACCGGGTCAACGAAGTCCAGCTCCTCGTAGAGCTTGCGGCACGCAACGCCAAACCAGGAAACCGGTGCTGGGAAGCGAGCCGATGCGAGATCGCGGAGCGGAGTCATCGCCCTGACGTCACGGTGCACCTCACCCAATCAGGGCGCGGCGACCGCAGCGACACTTGTGTTCGCTCTCGGGGCTATACCAGAAAACGAAAACGGGCAAAAATGGGCTCCATTTTCCCATTGAAATTTTCAGAAAATCACATCACTTTTGAATAAGGTATCGGATCGGGCTGAAACTTTGGCGCTACCTTTAGCGCTACCTTTGGGCGGAGAATGAGCGTTCGGCGATGCTTAGTTTGTGTATGCAATAAAAAAAAACTTATTTTTTTTATGACACTCTGTATAAGCTGCGTGACCCCTGCTTGACCTCTGCAGGCGGCGCGAAGGAGGCGACATGAGGCGGTGGTTCACCGCGGATACTCTGTTATGCGTGTCCTGAGCGGGCGCGTGCTCGCACTGAGTCGTGCCGTCTGCTCGCACACGGTCGGTTTAAAGGGATACTTCAACGAAATTTGAAATATTCCCGTCCTGTTAAAAAATAGGTTGAATATGATCCATAATATCCGTAAATGACAATCGCACGTTTGTATTTTGATCCTGGTGGCTGTATTTTTCGTTATAAACGGCCCACTCTGGCAAGCGCTCGGAGAAGGCCCAGCTCAGAGCACGTGACATCCAACGCAATCGTGACGTAGGTCGTCTCAAGACGAGCAAAGCTACGGCGAGGCTGACGTCGAGAGGATGGCCTAGTCGTTCCAGCCACCGAAGCGGCTGCTTTTGTACGAATTTTGAGTGACGGGTTAATCTTCTATAATCTTCTAGGGGGACAATAGCGACTTCTGCGACACACAAAAGGGATTCTCGGGAAGAAGGGAGTTCCTCCTTCCCCCCTTCTCTCGTCGTGGCCGGAGGCGAGACAACCTCCGTCACTAGCTGTCAAGGTTCCTAGACGAGCATTACAAACGAGGCGTTAGTGACATCCACCAGGTGCTCTTTGCTAATTGTTTAATTCGTTTTAAAATTCCTTTTCGAGACTTTTTTTAACAAGATATTGGTATGTTCCATGTGATACTGCTCTTTTGAACACATATAGACCAAAAAATGAGCGCCGAAATTTCGTTGTAGTATCCCTTTAAAACAGCGTTCGCTTTAGAAACGGAATTATATCGCTTTTTTTTACAAACAAAATGCGATCCCATTTTTATTACAAAAGCAATGCGATCCCATTTAGAATTTATTTTTGTACAACTTTTTTTTTTTTTGATTTAAGGGCAGCTTTGATTTGTGTTTTTTAATTTTAGTTTTCTCCAACTTTGATAAAATCGGCTCGTGGGTTAATTTACCGGGTTCATCGGTGTATACTGAAAACACGAAACCTTTCTCACGAGTCACAACAAAGCTGTTATCACGCAATGAACCCTACACCAGCATTGCTGACCTAGGGGTTGTTGCAACCTGACACTAAGCGCTTAAAAATGTGTCGTACACGTCAAGCTGCATGCGATCGCCTCGTTGTACTCGAGCTATGCGGAGAGCAGGTCGTCTGCTTCTTGCGGGGGAGTTGCGCTGACGTCAGAAAGATGCCGAGCTCTGATTGGCTCCGATTGAAGGATAGTGGGTAGACGTAAGGCAGCTAGCTTTGAGGTCTACCCCCTGTCCTTTATTCAGAACCAATCAGAGCACGGCGTCTTTCTGACGTCACCAACACCCCTGCAAAAGAAGAAGACGCCTTGCCCTCCGCATAATTTGTATCACCCTATTTCTTTTTACGTCAGAACATAGCCAATGCATAATGTAACCTATCAAGTATCGTCAAGAGTGCAACGTCAAGGTTGCTATCTTCTATAGGCGCTTCTGCACGATCATCAGCAAAACCAATCAAGTGCAGTGAATGAGCCGTAACCTTGCGTTCTAGTATTCTCGTGTTAGATGTCTTCTAGCCTTTGACTGCGTTTTCCAGAACGCACTAATGGCACGACCGCGGTCGCGAAAGTCAGACCAGTAAGCAAAAAGCAAACAAAGAGTGCGCAAAACAAAAATCTAGGCAAAAAAATTTTTAAAAATGACAAGATTCCGGTTTATATTTTTGGTTGGAGGATGTTTTCGACAGGCTATATAGCTGCGTAGATGGAGAGCATTCAACATAGTTGAATTATGCTCTACATTTTCGACGCTTCTTGCAGGATGCAAGCAAGGATGGTTCGGACAAGGCTGCCAGTTGAGGTGCAACTGTTCCGCTGGAGTCGCTTGCCATCACGAAAGCGGAAACTGCGTTTGTCCCCCCGGTTTGAAGGGCGAGCGCTGCGATCAAGGTGACCCCCGAAACCTCACGCGTGTTTGATCCTTCAAGGTGACAAAGTCGTAGCGGTAAATTTCTAACGTCGCCTACCTCGAATGCGGTTCCCAAATTGGACACGAGTGCTAAGTTAGCGTCCTCTGAAACTCGTGTTCTCACTGGAGAACACGAAATGGGGATCCATCTTTCCACCATCTCTATCAACCACTTGCTCTCTGGGGAGTTTTAGTAGATTGTTCCGATCCCTCCGATAACAATACATTATGTTTCTTTTACTTATTTATTTTATTAAAATTGGTCTCAAAGCGTTTATTTTCCTTTGCTGTTTCTTTTTTTTTTTTTCTTCTCTTCGATGGTTCTTCTTTAGCACTCATAATCCTCTTACTTCTTTTTTGTCCTCTTCTAATTTCTTCAGTACTCGTCAGTTGTAAGTAAGTGCTCAGACCTGTCCCCTCCCCTCGTCCTTTTCCTAATCATCTGCGCTTTTTCACATTATGTTTAATCAACTAGCCCACCAGTTAATCTTAAAAGAAAAGATGAAGTTCGAAGCGCACCGTTTGCACACGGCGCTCCGGCGGGGACATCACGCTAATGATGTATGATGACGCTTGATGACGTAATTTTATGGCCATCTTTCGGGCACAACGCCGCCGCCGCCACTTTTTTTTTTTTCACGTATGGGAAGAAGTGAGGTCGTCCTAGAGGTCTAGGACGACTTCTAGGAGGACCGCAAGGACGATGCCAAGGTAATTGGACAAGAAGGGTCGCCTACGACCGTCGTGGGTCCCCCATTGAGCGGCACTTGCCGCGGAATCGCGTTTATGGCCATCATACTCTGAGTTTTCGCTCAGTGGAACAAGTAAGGCCTTCGCCTTAAACTAATAAGAGCGCGCGCGCGTCTTTGGCTCTTCATTTGCGCATGTGTTTTTTTTTTTTTGTTTTTTTTTAATGTGTTGTGCCACGAAATGCATTTCTGCGTAGTCTGAACACTGTCGGCATCACTCAGTCATTGAATCCTGTGAATGTATCGCCAAGCTCCCCGTATGGTCGCCATTTTGGTATACATGCCTTGCAAGTGACGTCACACTAGGGAACATCTAGGGAACATCTAGGGAAGGACAGAAACCCGCGCCATACTGGTGGTTGACTTCACATGCGCTAACATGCACCATATTTTCAACAGAGGTACCGTGAACGTAAAAAAACGTGCTGAGGTTACGATAAGGACGTTTATCTAGTACGTGCGGAAATTTTCGGCATTGGTGCGATTGCGCTACGAGCAGAAAGTTTCGAAATGCCGCCGACGAAGTTTTGACGCGAAGGGATGCCGTGTCGCCAAAAAAAGAAAAAGCTTAATTGCGGGCTTCATCATTTGACGAGCGGCTCTAGGAGTCGCTTGTAGAAAGATTGTTACGATTTTGCGAAATACTGGTAAACAACGCAATGTTACCGTCATAATCTGAACCCTGAGACAAGGATAAATCAAATAACGGACAAGAAACTCATTGTCTCGGGGTTTATATTATGATGTTTCCTAACCGGCTCGCCTGCATACTTTCGCTCCTTGCAAAGGTTATCGTATCGCGGGCAGCGGACGGTACAAACCGATGACCCGGCGGCGGCGGCTCGGCGAGCTTGCACATGGGGAACGCCGCCGACCGATCGCAGTCGGGCCGGGCTCGCGGCGCGGCACTCGCCCGGATTCGGCCGGGAGCCCCGAAGGTGCGCTCGAAGCGTAATAATGGCGTTATGCAACGAAGGCCAAAGGCCATATACACCAAGAACGAGCAAAAGCCGATGCAAAGGCGTGCGCGAACGTAAACAACGGTAGAAAAGTGTCGTCGTTCGCCGCTATGAAATGCGTCCCGCAAACTCGATAATCCGCGGCCGCATCCCTTTCCTGCCGATCGTACTTTATCTAACTTGACGGCTACTCTGTCTCGCGGGGCATGCCGACGAAACGATCGGACGATCATCGGGATACGGGGTAATTGCTACAGCCGAGCGCGGCGCAGTTTACCCATGCTCTCGCTGCGAAGGGCCGTCGAGTCAACCACCAGCATGGTAGACACGGGTGTTCGACGTCATCAAGTGACGTAGGTGCAAGACATGTATATGGAAGGAGTTTCTTGACCTCTCTATGCTTCGGAGTTGATTCGACCTTTCCGGAAATTGCCACAGTGTCTGCTTTGCGCATTTTAACGTTCAGATGTACGGCACGTGAAATTATCCAAAAAGCGAAGGCGAAAAGTTGATGTTGGTTTACCAGTTTGTGATTTCAGAACGCAGAGAAGACAGAAGAAAAGCAAAACAGAGTATATGACGACCTTCTTTTTTCCGTTCGCTTTATTTTTTTGTGTGTTCTTAGCTCCTAATGATAAGAAAGAGAAAGGATGAACCGTGCCGCTACCATGACATACGAAGCCTCCGAGCCGGCACAAGCGTATATCCGAAAAGCCCCAAATTCCCCTCCGTGCGTGGAGTTCTTCCATTATTTAGATTACCCTCACCTGCACACTCTCACTCCAAGTGTCTATTATCGCATTATGACAGGTTGCTTTATGAAGAGGTTTTTTGCACGGGTTTTTTTGTGTACCGAAATTCTGTTATACACACACCAGCGAAACAGACGCACATTTTATGCCGTAACCCCCCATCTAGCGTGAGTGCTTGGCGACATCGAAAACTAATTTTCATGTCTTGAAGTACAAAGGAAGAACAATATAATTGAATTAAATCTGATGAAATAAGCATGATTGACAAGTTGGTTGCATACACAGTACCAAAGATGCTTATATTTGCGAGGAACGGTTTCAATGTCATGAGGCTCCGTGGCGATCTTGGCCAGGCTGGTTTCTCAACAACCCTTTCGAAGCTTCGAAGATGCGAAAGGACCGAAATGACAAATGCCATGGCACAGAAACCGAACAGTTAATCACCCTGTGAAGTTTAGATCGTCTGTATGTTAGTATCTTTTTGTGTCTCGCACTCAGGTATAGGGAAGGCAATGCGCTACTTTCCCAGGATCCCGGGACTTTATGACCAACAGTTCTGGGATGAAATAACGTTGGTATGAAAAGTCTGAGATAACTGCCTCGGGATGAAGTGCCGTGGGATGAGGAGGGGTAGAGCCTGTTTGAGGTATTAAATATTCTGGTATAAAAAGTTCCTGGGATCATGCGTCATGAGATGAAACGTCTTGGGATGAGAGTTCTTTGGTGCGAAATGTTTGGAATAAACTGTCCCGGCATGAAGTGGATGAACCCCCGTGTGGCTATCAAAGCTATATAGAAAAGATCTTGCGAGCGGTAACAGGTGGGGAAAGACTTATACATAGCTCGGATATGATGTCCTTCACGGCCATGCCAGTATTTTATGCGCAGCGAGCGTTCGGTTCGCCGTGTTAGTTTCACACCGTAGAAGTTGTAGGTCGAAGGAATAACCGACACCTGCAAGCAATGTGTGGTAACGCATATATAGACGATAACAGGCAAAGGATCTGGCCACCGCCACGTAACACTGTAGCCACGTTCTTGCTCGTGTGAGCAAACACCTGCAAATGGAATCCAGCCAAAGCTACGTTCACGCGCATACTGCACGTGCTTGCACGCACCAGTCGGGAACCCATGTTTGCATGTTTGTGGGCACCAGTCGGGAACCCATGTTTGCAGACCTCTATTGGCGACGTGCGCGATCGAAAGCGTCGCTGTGGTCGGCCTTCCGCGATTGGCCGAATGCTGACTATGACGTCAGCAAAGGTTTTTTCATCGACGGAAATAAGAGGAATGGAAGAACGTCAATTTCGACGGTGTTTGTAGTGTTGCTTTAAGAGCGCAATGATTTCAAGCTTCCACCATGCTCCTTACGAACACCATCGAACTTGTTGTTTGCAAGGTAATGTCGTCACGAAAGGTAATCATAGGAGGACGCCACTAAAACATCTCGCCGCTAATTAGCGGCGAGATGTTTTGGTGGCGCTTTCCTATGGTTCCCTCTCTTTTGACTTCATTACTTTGCAAACAACATGTTCGATGGTGTTCGCAATTAGCACTGTGGAAGCTCGAAATCATTGCGCTCTCATTCTTGCATTCCTCTTACTGTCGAAACCCGTTCTAACGAAGTCGACAGGAATCTGAAATCGTTTCGGTATATCTGTTTCTTCGTTATATCTCAACTCCATAAAAATACACGCGAAGGAAAAAAAAAGAAGAAAAGGATAACACGGGTACAGTGTTCTATAGAGGGTGTAGTGGCAAGAGCGGCGCCCGCTTACAATGAAGCGCGTGAAGACGGTCGACGTAGGTACCGCGAGTGGCGCTGGAGTTCTGTGCCCTAGGAGAATTAATGGCACGTGTGCGATGAACGAAGAAGACGACGAGGGTGACGCGGTACGCTTCTCCGAAATGTAGCACCGTAGAACTTCTTTCGCAGCTATTAAGCCTGCAGCCCAAGTGATAGCGTTGCTGAACGATGTGTCAGTACTGGGGGGGGGGGGAGTCGATAATAATTAAATAATCTCCCTCAAAACACGGGAATATTTCAAGTAGAGGATAGCACACACTCTAGAGGCATTAGTTCAAAGGCAGAACTACAATTTACTATACTTCGTTTCACCTTATGTTGTTTCGCAGCGAAGGCTAGAAGCGCGAGCTCATAGCGTTGGCAGCTGCTCTTAATTCACGAGAGCTTGTGCCGCCGAGATGTGCCCCAGAGCAAGAAGCTCGCGCTTGTAGCCTTTCCTGCGGTACATCGTAAGGTGAAACAGAGTTTACAGAACAGCATTAGCAGTTGTTTCGCACCGCGAAAAGCTCCAGTCAAGCCACAGTAGTAAGCGCCGAACAGCGCTGATGATGGGGCTGACGGGGGCGCGCTCCTAGGGCACAGAACAGCAGCGCCATGGTGTCGTCTACGCGCAAAATCTTCACAAAGCGGCCGCCGCTCTTGCCACTACAACCCCCTCTAGAACACTGTAATACGGGCAATAACACGGGCTTGCATATGTTTATCGTGCCTCCA